ATGCTACTTTGATAATATTTCCTTTAACTACTGCTTCAGTACAACGAAAGTGAACGAAAATGTGAAAGCAAGTGTCTTGCCACGCGATATTGAGAACTATCGACGAGGGCATCACGTTATTTTATAAGATTTTTGGCATTTCCTAAAGCAGAATCTTACGACACGTTTATTATTATTATTAGGTACTGATTGATTCTCTTTCGTCGCCACCACAAGGCAATTAATCATCGTAAATAATAATAATAATAACAAACACAAACATGAACTTGCTAATATAGATTATGGAAAAAAGCAATTTTGTACGAAGCAGAGACAATAAGTCTGATTTTTTCGTATGTAATTTACTGTGTATCTCGTTGTAAGTGAAGCTATGTTTTTTATGAGAAATAAATTCTTTAAATCCTAATAAATGCCGATTAGATTTAGTAAATTTCGCTTCAATTCGCACCAATTAATGACACGCTACGTCAGTTCTGAATCGTACCATACATTTTATTTTATCTTAACTCATTTAAGTTATATTCAAGTAATAATCCTTATACGGCTAATTGTAATTAAAGTTATATCTTAGTTAATTTTTGCTATAAAAATCCCGACTTTAGTCACACATCGAACAATTATACACAAGGCAATATAACTTCCTCTTGATACAAAACAAAGCTTATTACAATAACTCCATTTATAATTACTAGCTAACGTGGAGTGCGTTCAGTAGAATATGATACAAATATAAACATTTCGGTCGCATAACATGTTCAGAATAACTTGTTGCATACACCATCACAAGATACAACTTTGCATTGTGAAACATGTTCGTTGTAAAGAAAAGTTGCACGAAAACTTTACATCAATCAATAGAAAAAAAAAATTGTAATTGGATTATGACATTGGTCATGGGAAGAAAGTTTCTCGAATGGCAACCTTGTACTGAAGAGAGAAAAATTTGTAGCCTGTCATCCTCACACCTAGACGAATCTAACTACACTTCGTATGTTAAAATCCGTCAAGAATTTAGTCCACGCAGCGTGCGAAAGAAATAGACATACATACATACATACTCTCGAAAAAATTACCCTCCTTCTGGGGGAGCCGAGTAAAAAGCAAACACAATTAATTTTAGATTACTATATGGGCTTGTTTCATCACTAATCTATGAAAATTATTATTGAGAAATAAATGTATTTTTGAGAGCCGTGGTAGCTCAGTGGTTAACGCTCGCTGTAAATATAACAGAACGCGAGTAACCCGGGTTCGATCCCCGCCGGCACCAATGAAATTGTTAATTGCAATTTTAAGTGCTGATTTACCACGTGCTCGGCGGTGAAGGAAAACATCGTGAGGAAACCTGCATGTCTGAGGAATAGGAAAAAAAATATTTCGAAGACATGTGAAGTTCGTCAACACGCATTTGGGCAGCGCGGCGGACACTTCCTTGCCCTAAACCCTCTCAGAAATGAGGGGAGGCCTGAGCCCAGCAGTGGGACGTATATAGGCTGTAACTTACTTACTTACTTACTTAAATGTATTTTTTAATTCTTTTATTTTTAATTATAAATGTTGGGCAATACTGTCTGGATGCTGGATGGGTTCGGCTACAGGGTGTATCGAAAAGAGACTTGGGGCACCTGCCATTATCTCAATGAATAAAAGGTGAATTGTGGTGACTCGCTTAGCAAATGGAAACCTCACACTGTCATCTTAACTGACTGCGAAGCGTTAACGTTAAACAGTCAACATCCTCCCCGTTTTGAGGCATTTTTCACTTCACCTTTCCGGTATAATGTGTCACCATTACAGGATATAAAAGTCCACTGATTAACATAGGCGGCTCTTATAGCTATAGCGAGGATAGTAAGTTAGTTAGATAGTTGCCACGCTTCGCAGACGAGTTGGCTGGAGATAAAGTATTATTAAATAAATATCATAATTAAATTGGATAAAAGCTTAAAAAAGGCAATAAGTTTTGAATACTGCGTTCATCAATTATATTTAATGAAATTATAAAAAGTTTGCTACACAAGAAACTAACATCTAACTTAGTAATATGAAATTATTTTAGGAACTTAACGATAATCACTTACTAAAATATCAAGATCAATTGGTTCAACCAACTATTAATGGAATGATTTCTTTCAGTGTTGCCATTATCACAAAATACACACACACACACACACACACACACACACACACACACTTACAAGTAAATTATTATTTCTAAAACAATGGACACGACTGCAGTGGTCTAACTTTATAAGAAGAGCGACACGCACTGGTTTCGCCAGGGTAGGATCTATTAATCTGACGGCTATTCAAACTTTATTTTTTTTTAAAAACTCCCATATTTTCGGGTGAAATATAGTCTAGATCACTCCGGGCATTGCTCTCTATTTTTAGTTTCATTACAATCGGCTCCGCTGTTCCAGTCATAAGCCCAAACAGAAAAACAAAGGACAGAGAAATTTATAAATTTTAAATTTAAAAATATTCATATCGTGGGCATGCAAATACCCCCCCCCCCCCCCCCCCCCCCGCGATATAAGGCAGTTATTTCATTAAAGACAAAAAAATTGAAAAAACCCCCCCCCATACAAATTGTTTGAGTACGCGCGCAGTTGGCGCTAGCGCACGACAAATACCCCTACAACTATTTGTTCAGGGTTTGGATGTTTGTCCTTGTGAAATTTATGTATATATACTACCTCCACGATAAAAGCGAAAATCCTAGTGTAGGGGGAACTTTTCTTAAATTATACGACTAGTTTAATAGTTCTGAACGGACATATATATAGACAGAAACATACACAATATGTCGACCAAAAATACACCTTCCTTCTTTATGTGTTGCATTGCAGTATATTGAAATCAACAGCTTACACATTATTAAATTTCTCACATTATGTGAAAACAACATTGATTTTATAAATAATATCACATACTAAACGAAATATTAATTTACCAATAATAAATTAAATACTTTAACATAATTTTTACGTTATAAATTAATAAAAACCAATTTCTATTCTAAACAAATAAGCAAATAAATAAAACGCGTCTCTATCCCTCTCTCCTTTCTCTACAAACATTATTTTTTTTAATTTTATCCTAGTCGTATTTTCTTATAGAAATATTTTCCAACGCAAATATAATAAATTCAACGGCCCAAGACTTTGCTTCAATAATATTAATTTATATTATTTTAACCAATAACGCTCATTTTCATTCAATATTCATTTATCAAGAAAGTCTGACGACTTTTTACTCAATTTCACAATAAAATTAGCTATTAAATAAAAATGAAATGAATTTGTTGGTAATATAAAGTATACAAACTGAATCACCTCACTGACAGCGATCTGTATTTCATATTTACCACGCTCTCACAGAATACCAGCGTAAAATGCTGCTGTGTTTCGTATGGTGAGTGTAGAGAACCGGAGACCTTTTTTATTGGAAACGAGGCATTTCATCTTAGTCAGGTCGTATCTGCATTTTAATTCTTAATCACAGGCTCTGTGGCTCACAGCACACACTTACTGGGGACTGTGTGCTCGTTTGTCACCCTTATTTTATAAAAAAATCTCACGTTTCTTCTGCCACACCCCGCTTTCACTACTTGTTGTCTATTATTATGAAAAAGTTAAAATTATACTTGTAATAAGTTCGAGAACATTTTCATAATATCTTATGTACATAATTAGTTTCTCGAAAACATCTGTAACGATTTGGATGTACTTTTGTATGCTGATAATGTTTTACTTTTCAAGTTTATCCAGATATAAAAAGAATTATTTCTAAAGTCAAATGAAATTCAGTCGCCCAGTTAGTTTCTATTTTAAGATGTTTCCACGCCTATTCTGCTAAACTTAACGTAGTCTATGGTATAGACCAAAGGATAAGTATAAATTAGACTCAGAGCTAATTTTTACAATCATCAGATAAAAGGTATCCATCGAATAAATTATACGCTGACTGAATATAACAGTAAAACAATGAGGACTTATAATATTAAGCTCAACAGATGTCGCTAGTTGGGGCTGAGACGATTTCATTTATCACGGAAACAGTGCCAGCATTGTTGAACGTTTTAAATAAAAATATCTCAATATCAAGTCTATGTATGTACACAAAACAATACCTCAGTGCTGTGTTCTTTTTTTTTTTTTTTGCACATTTTCAATTTTTGTTTATTTATTCTCCTTTTAGGAATATCCGTAATTTAGTTTATCCATTCCTAATTTAACGAATACAAAATATAACTAATGTTTTAGAAGAAATATTATTCTCTACACTTTTCTAGCGAATTATTTTGCTCCCGCCATCAAATCTGTTAAATATTTCGCCTGTGTTCCGAAATAGAACCTAGTATACTGGCCAATGCAAATGACGTCAAAAATCGACGCCATACTGATGATTCGTTTTAAAACATTGGCCAGTATATGAAATAATACATACTCTTTACCACTCTTCCTCAGTAACAAAGAATGAGTATGATTTATCATTCTCTACATCGTACAGGTTTAACTGTTTAAGCTCTGCCATTTTTTTTATTAATAAAATAATAAAAACAAATTCTCGAATGCTTCATTTAGCATACACATAACTAAAAATTGTTTTAATATGGCGGGATATCCGACACAATATGGCGGCGGCACGCCAGTACCATATGGCGTCAATTAATGACGTCATTTGCATTAGCCAGTATACTGGATTCTATTTCGGAACACAGGCTTCACCACTATGGAAGTGGTGCCGACCTGGTGGTAGAAAAAGTAGTGGATGTCCTCATTTAACTATTTTATTCATAAATTTGTAATTTTTAATATGTTTATGTTGTATTTTATCCTATGAATAAATTTAATCTAAGGATTGAAATTTTTTTATAAAGGATTAGAATTAGAATGACTAGAGTTCGTATATCACTGGGCGTTGCCCTCAGTGAGAGTGTTCTCGATCTTCCTTTTTCAGCTGGTCGTTGAGGGTATTACTAGAATGGTGTAAACTCAGAAGGTCAGAATTGGTTCTTCGCGGTGGTCCAGGATGTCTGAAATAATACAAATCTTTATATTAATACTTGAAGGATAAAATTTGTACTCCTTTTTAAATATATGTTATTGCGCGCATGGAGAAGTGTAAGATTTGGCATAGTAAAGTTAATATATCGAGAAGGAGAGCAGAAAGCTATAATTTATAAATAATATGTTGTGTTATTGCATTTAATAAAATAAAACCTTTAATGTAAATTGTCAAATACATAATAATCTATTGTCAAACAGTCGCACAGAGTAAAGATTACCACCAAATACTTTTAAATTGTTGCCAACAAAATAATTATATTTTATAAGTGGTAGAGTCCTTCTGCAGTTATACTAGTAGTATAGTTGTAGTACGAATGGGTCGGCTCGACCCGGGAAGGACCACGCTCTCACAGAATACCAGCGTCAAATACTTACTTACACTTACTATCAGATGGACTGTCTACTCGTTTGTCACGCTATCCTAAAAAAATACAGACATATTGACTGAATGAGCTGTGGTGTACATTGTGTGATTTCAATAGTCTGTTCAATAGAGTGTACGGTACGGCAAAAAGTAGTTTATATTATGTTTTATATATTAATTATTATTTAAACTTAGAGTTGAAAGTGAAAAAAGCTTGCGTAATATACAAACTTAAAAAGAATTATGAATTATGATCTAGTTTTGATCACAGTTGGGAGAAACACATCAGGATACGGGCAGTAGCGTCTTTCTAATAACGATTAAAAATAATAAAATACTGCGGTTGCCAAGCCGCTTGCCAAGCGCGGCAACTATAGCAAATATCCCCCGATGGGAAGGCTTTCTTCAGCAGTGGACTTCGACAGACTGTGGAGTCGCGTATCGATTAAGCGTGTGCGTTCCGCGGAACGCGTTCCAAATGTTCCAAGTATATCAACTAAGCGGCAGCTGTTCTAGTGTTTGACCGTTCAACATGTATGTCGGTCCTGTACGAGCAGCTGCCGCTTACATAGTGTTGACCATGTAAGCGGCAGCTGCTCGTACAGGACCATCTTCTCTGAGTGCTTTATTATGATAAAAACGACTTTTGCTATTCCACAGCAGTTATTTTGAACCATATAATTTTATCAATTTACGCCAACTTTGGTTATCCACAGCTCGAAACGCAAAGAAAATACGAATAATGAAAACAACCTTCCCAACGGCGCGCGCGCCAAAACTTAACTACTTTGATACGCGTCAAAAAACCGACACCAACGTAACGAGTTTGAGAGTTCCAGCGAACAATTTGGCGCACGTTCCAAGGCGGTATCCATTTCACGCGGTTGGAACACGCGCCAATGTTCGACCTCTTGGACCGCATTTTTCGTGGTATTCCAATATACTACTGTCCATTACCAGTGTTGTAGTTGTGAGGTACATCGTACATAATACAGTACAGTTAAGTGTGGTAAGATATTTCTTATAGAGTAGACGAACACACAGTCCACCTGATCGTAAGTGAATGCTGTGGCCCATAGACATTCATATGCATCCTCGATTAAGATTCAAAATGCAGATGTCTGATCTTCGCTGAGGACTAAGATGGAAAGCCTCATTTCCTGTAAAAATGATTCTCTGCACTCACGGCATTGAGCTGCTTTTTAATGCTGGCTGATTCTGTTAGAGTGTGGTCCCCCCGACCCGACTCATTCGTGTTGCGACCATATTATCTGCAGCGTGGCTCGTGTGGTGAAGTGTGTGGTGTTGGACTTGCTATTATTTATACCTTTGGCGATACTCCACCAGGGCAGCGTGACGTACGTGAGGTACGCGTTGAGCGGCGCGGACTGCTGCCTTTTGCCCTCCTTCCACAGGTGGAAGGTCTGCGTGAAGCCTCGCATTGCCCACAATGGGTTGTACGCACCATCATCCAGTTCTGTTGACAATGGGACGAATCACGATTTGTACTAAGAATATTATGTTATAAAATAAATAAAATATATATATATATATATATATATATACATATATATATACATATAAACACGCCTGTCGCCCAGAGGGGTAGGCAGAGACTACAGACTTCCATTTGGCACGATCCTGACACACCTCTCTTGCCTCCTTCACATCCATACACCTACGCATACATGCTCGTCGGTTAAGGGTACTCCTAATTTGGCCCGTTTTCAATAAATCGTCAATTTGGTCGATAAGTTTTCGCCTAGGACGTCCCTTTCCGACTCTGTCCATTCACTTCTGCACCATAAATTTTCTTTGTCACTCTTTCCTCATTCATTCTTTCCACATGACCAAACCACGGAAGCATTCCTTTCTTAATCCTGGTCACAACATCATCTTGCAAACCACACTCTTCTCTTATCACACAATTTCTTACCCTGTCGTTCAGATTCAGCCCTAACATACTCCTTAACGACCGCATTTCTACTGCGTTTATTCTACTCTCGTGCTTCTTCTGCCACACCCAACTTTCACTACCATACGTTAAAGTAGGGACCAACATAGCATTGTGAATTCCATACGTGCCTTTTTCGACACATTTTGACTCTTCACAATAGAGTGCAAGGCCCCATTTACTCTATTTTCCCGCATTCACTCGTCGTTCTATATCCTTATCATATCTCCCATCCCTGCTAAATACGCAGCCCAAATATACAAACTCATCTACTTGCTCGATCAACTCCCCTTCTATTCTTATTTCACAAATCGTTTTACTTTCTTCTCTTTCAAAAACCATCACTTTCGTCTTACTTGCGTTCACTTTCATACCCCTTTCTTTTAATCATCCGTTCATTAATGTAACCATCATTTGCAACTCGGCCGCCGACGACGCAAGAATAACTTGATCATCGGCGTACAAAAGGCATTTGACGGTTAACTCACCCATTCTTAATCCGCATTCTTCAACTTTCAAATTTATTATGTTATTATTGTTTGTAAATATGTTAACAGATGTTATAGATTTATAATCTAGAAGTCAACACCGTCCAAACACTTGGTAAATCAGAAATTGTCGATGTTTCACTCTCGTGCCTGGGAAAACATGAAAAGCCGTTGGTCATGCGCCCGATCTCTCCCCGGTCGTGTCGGACTGCCGTCCCATAGGACTATGAGCGTGAGGGAACAGAGAGTGCACGTGTGCTTGCGCGCTTACACTGGGGCACTACAATCCTGTCCTGCGCAGATGCCTTATCTCCATTGGAACTGGCCGCCGTGACCGAAAATCAGTCTGGAGGACGTTATTATTTAAATCAGAATTTTAAAATTGCAATTATCAATTTCATTATTGACCGCGGGAATCGAACCCAGGAAGTTAGCGTACTGTGAAATTTAAGGCGGGCGCTTTGCCACGAAGTTACTAAGGCTTTGGTTTAAAAATCAAAATGAATTTCTAAGGTACGTTTACAGAATTACCTTAGTAATTAAAAACATATATGTCAATAATAAACTAAAGTTTGATTGCATATTACATTTATGATCAGAGACGTTAGTGAAAGCTCTACATATAATGCCCCTACAATTGAATGAAAAATGAAACCTACTTACAAGAATGGAACAGTATAATTTTTTATTCAATATAAATAACATGTAATTCTCATTGAAGTTAATTTTTTACTTTTTCCACCAGTTCGGAAAAAAGCCTCTGTCCTGGGAAGAACCAGCACGAAACTCAGCGGAGCTTTACTATTAGTCATAAACATATTGTTTTTTTTTTTATTAAGCCTATAGGTTAAATAAAAATGTTTGTATAATAATTTTAACAGGCGCTATATAAATCCATAAGAAACATTAATTTTCTAAATATGCATGAAATAATATGCACAAAATTCGCATCTATAAAATTTCTGACACAAAAGTACCCGTTTTCTTGTCGGAGCTAGTTGTTGACAAATAGAAGCGGGTCGTTAGAGTGATGGTAGACTAGCTAAACTTATAAAATTGTGTAGCGCGATAGTAAAAAAGGATGAAACTAGCTGTAACTAATTACTGACTAATCTAATAAAGAAAATAATAAATTACTAAATTGATTTTGAAACGTTGAAAAAGTTACTTTATAAAAACATCAATATAGAATAATTTTGACCTTGTGTGTGTGAGAAGTGAACCTAGTGGAACTCCTATACTTAAGATGACATTGAGTTTTATTTTTCGATAAAAATATGATCTTCTTTTTGTAAAATGGAAAAACAAATGGATATAAACAGAATTGTAAATTTACGTAAATATTATTGATGATTTGTTCACGTAAAATCAATGCTTGTATATCTAAAGCTTTGTAAAAGTCATCGTAAACATTTCTACAAATTTAATTACAATTAATGAGAGAGTAACTTTGCACTTATAAAAGACTCCAATATGGTAGGCAGGCAAGCAGGCAGTCAAAAAAAAATACACATAAAAGTGGAGATAAAATGAATGCAAAACAAGTGCGTAAATGGTATATATTGCAATGGTCCAATGTTCTAATTTTTAAGTCCTTGATTCCTGAAATAAAGTTATTGTATTGTAATGCAATACCGTGTAACGAGCGCGGCGGCAAGTCGCACCAGTAGTAGATGTCGGTGCCATCGGGTGTTGTTCTTCTTGGCGGGAGACGAGTCCGTCGGAACAGCGCCGCGGCCACGCCGCGCTGTCGTCGCGGCAGCGTCACGTACGCCCGCGCCCCCTCACTCCACCCCTTACTACCCCCTGCGCTATGCCCCCCCACCACACTCTGTCTGATCCCCGGACACATAGCGAGCGGTCGCGTGTTCCTCAGTGCCACGCACCGTGGGCCCCGTCATCATTTTCACCACCTTTTCATAATCGTTTTCATCGGGGCAGTCGAGGGAGGCAGCATCGTGAGCCAGTTCGCAGTCGTCGTCCACCGGCTGAGCGGAGCGACGGTGGCGGGTGGGGGGAGCGGGCGGAGAGGTGGAGGGGCGACTGCGGCACGACTTAATGGGCGACGACGAGGAGCCACGTCCCGTAGGCAGGCGGGCGTGGCTGTGTCGCGCGTCTCCCGCGCGTAAACCTCGCGCATGTCGCGCTCGCATCCCCCCGCGCCCCCTCCCTTACCCCCACCTCCGCCCGCGCAGCAGCGCCACCGCGCGGAGGAAGCCTGAGAGCCGCGCCGCGCTACGGACAGACGACAAACACGCGTTACTACTCACGACTAGTGTAACTACCGTTTCCGTTTTATCTTACGACCCGTTACGAAGATACCGATCGTGAATCAAAACGGATATAAATATAGTTTTTGCAGTTTTAGTCTTTTTAAGTTGGCGGTAAAATAGTTTTTTTTGAAGTGAAAACTTCTTTAGAATAATTGTGAATTGAAACTCGTTGAAACAAAAAAGCGACACTAAAAGAGACAAACATACATTTATAGGACTTAGCTTGCGCGAGCGAATGAGATAGAATACAGTATATATACTGCATATATTATCTCGGTCACCTTTTCTGAAGTTTTCACTTCTCCGCGTGTGAACTGCACACATGTATTTTACTTTTTGTAACGTTATCCCCCCCCCCTCATGATTGTCCTAAGATTGTTTCCTGTATCGTGTTAGTACAGTACGTGTTAGTACTTAGTACAGTTTAAATAGGTACATAAATTGTACAAGGACTAATATCAAAACCCGGAACAATTACTTGTACACAATACCAATACTTTGTAATACCTAGAGACGGTTCTTTAATGTCTTTCGTTTTTAATACAACGGATCGTAACGCAAAAGGGAACGTTTATATTATTTAGGCACGGAACAAGGCTAACATTCATACGATAAGCTTGTAAAGATTACGCCAGCAACCGAACTAGATATCCGGTTTCCTTTTAATTACTACAAGTGTTTATATTTCCGGGACATAAACCGTTTCCTTTGGTTACGGCACTTGAGCTAGCTTTCGTAAGACCGACAAGATCTATTTTAGCGAAACAATACAAACAACGATCTTGCCAAATAGTACACGTTGAGTATTCAAAATAAACATTTACAACACAACGTGAAATTTAGCAGCGCGTAAACGGAAATTCAATAACGAATAAATCAAAATTCATTTAAAATGTCAATTCTATATTATATTTAACTACCCTTTGATTCCCGAACGTGTAAAACGTAAATCGCGTCTAACTGGCTTCCTCCGAGCGTCTCATACATGAAGACAAACAAACTAATGAAGCAACAACACCGATAAAGCATTAAGCAACAAGGTTTGAATGGATACACTACATGCGACATACGAATACTTGAGCACAAGGTATAGGATAACAAAGTAAACGACATCAATAGTAAAAACCTATGCTATTAACAAAAACGTATCTCACGTTGTTAATTTGATCGGACTCTGATCAATGTTTTTTACAAATGCAAAACAAAGAATACAAAAATCTATGTGACTCAACAATTACGTGATATAAACAAAACAGAATATCTATAAAAAATTCAATTCAAATTCATACGTGAGAGAGTCACGGTGCAGCTATTATGGTTGTAACATGAATGGGTCGGCTCGACCGGGGAAGGACCACGCTCTCAAAGAATACCAGCGTAAAATAGCAACTTAATGCTGCTGTGTTTCGTATGGTGAGTGTAGAGAACCGGAGACCCTTTTTTACTGGAAACGAGGCGTTCTACCTTAGTCCTCAGGGGTTACTGCGCATCTGCATTTTGATTCTTAATCCAGGATGGATAAAGATTACTATGTTCTCTTACTATCCGGTCGACTGTGTGGTCATTTGTCAACCTTATTCTATAAATAAAACATAGTTTTAGGTGCATATGTATGTGACCAGCTTTGAATTTTTATGGGTTGATAAAGAAAGAAGGTAAGTGCATGTCAAGAAGTTGAGCATGGTTTAGGAATCACATATAAATAATTCCTTAACGTTTCAAATGTACATAGTTCTACAACACAAAGCCCAGCAAGTCATGTAAATGTTTGCAAACATTTCAACATAGGAAAAAGTAATGAAATCTAACTTATTTATCTTCCCGAGAACAATGGTACAACATATGAAATGTTATGTTTTAGTTAGTTATTGTTCGGTTTTGATATATATATATATATATATATATATATATATATATATATATATATATATAGTATATGTATGTATATATATATGTGATATATCAAAACCGAACACATAATTAAGATGATGTTTGGATTGCTTCCGTTTTATTTAGGATTTAGGTTTTTTAGTTCTGTAGTTAAAAGTTGTTTAGTCCATATTATCTTTTGTAACGTGTGTTTTGATGTTTGTTGTAATCAATATTTTTTCTTTCTTTCCTTCTATATTTTTCTTTCTACTGTCCTTGAACATTTTGTCTAATGGACTGTAGATTATTGCTTTTTATAATCTTTATATATAAAAAAACCCGCGATGAACTCCTAAACTACTGAACTGATTTCAATGAAATTTTGAACAATGTATTAGTAACAATTGTATAGTATAATAGTCCAACTTGAGCGATAGGATAGTTTTTATCCCGGTAAGTTAGCATCAAAATTTTTATTTGCGAATTTAAGGATTTTTATAGGAGTTGTCTGAAAGGGCAGAACATCTGCCTGACAGAATATAAATATTTGATATTAATATAAGTAAGGATTAATAAATAAAGTTTAGAATTATTAAAGTAACCTATGTTACGAAATCCTAATATTTATGGCTAGGTATATTTTAAAATTAAATGGTTAAAATCAAAAAAAGATAACTGAAATATTTCGGAATAACGCAACCGACCAAGTGAAGTTTACCGTAAAAAAACATAATGAAAGAAGACACTAATGATTAATTTAATACAATAATAATACAATCAAGAAATACAATATAATAAATACTTACAGTTGAAAACATTCTGAAAGTACTAAACTGCGAACTAAATACCGATGTTGGTTTGTATGAGAAAAATATGGGAAAAAAGATACAAACTCACCGTCGCGAAGGTCACCAGCCTCCACTTCTGCCACGCCGTCCATCAATGAATCCAGGCCGTCGTTTTCAGAGCGGCTATGGTCGGTGGGGTCCCGCGTGCGCCAGCCTCCACGATTGAATGTGGTGATATTTGCGCTGGGATCACTCAGCCGACGCTGGAATATGCCACGAGATAATCAGTAATTAACTGCCAAGCTGATTTTAATTAACCTATTTGTACTTAAAGATAATTTTTTTATAGAATAAGGGTGACAAACGAGCAAACAGTCCATCCGATGGTAAGTGGATGCTGTGGCTCATAGACATCTACATTTATCTTCAATTAATAATCAAAATGCAGAATGCGTAGCCAGCCCTGAGGACTGAGATGGAATGACTTGTTTCCCGTATACAAAACACAGCAGCATTAAGCTGCTATATTTTACGCTGGTATTCTGTGAGAGCGTGGTCTTACCCCTGTAGAGCCGACCCATTGCTGCAACTATAATACTGCTGCAGCACGGCTCTACCACTTAAATAAAAATTTATTATATAAGATCCGCGTGTTAAAATAAAATGATGTGTCTTACCTAGCTTGAACAACAACTAACACCACTATAATAAATAGACCCTGGCGTGTCCGCTAAGTCCTCCTGACGATACTTCATTTAGAGACGAAACACGCGTCGTATTATCAACAGAGGTGTGTCTTTCCTAGTGTACTGGTGTTGGGGTTAGTGGTGACGAGGATAGTGCCTGCAATTGAGGCAGGGCGGGACTTGCTCTTCAAACTAGGTAAGACACATTCTTTTATATACTACGCGCATCTTAGCTAATTAATATTCAATATCTTTAATATAAGAGATTGGCTCAAATTAACAGCTGATTCTATGGATTGATTTGTATTTTCTTCGACAAAAAACAATCATTTATAAGTAAATATTTTATCGCAGTCTGCCAAGTCAATATTTAGAAAGACCCCTTTTACTGGAAACGAAACATTCCATTATAGTTCTCAAGGGTGACAACCCATCTGCATTTTGATTTTTAGTCGAGGATAGACGTAGATGTCTATGAGCTACAGCATATATTAACCATCAGGTGGATATTGTGCTCGTTGTCACACTTATCCTATAAAAATATTGATTTGTGTTTTCAGTAGCTAAATATGGATTTTGATTTTTATATGTACCTGATGTCGATAGAGGAACATATCCTCAGGATCGTCCATGTCATCCGGCCAGGGTGCCGCGAGCCCAGGCTCGGAGCCAGGCGTTGCGGTGCCTCGGGGTCTGGACACCGCCACTTCTGCGTGACCTTTGCCTCCAGGGCCCTTCATGCGGACAAACTCGCACCGTGTCGCGCCGCGGCCCATGCCCCCCAGCAGGCCAAATGACATGCGCTGAGCCATCTTCGTTGATAATGATGATTGCTGGGTAGAGATAACAACGGTCACATGACTGTCTGATATATGGTGATCGATATAAAACAAAGAGATGATGTATAAGCTACCTCTAGTGTTTAAAGCTTTTCGCTCACTTTTAGCACCGCACCTCTTTGCTAAACCAATAATCATTAAACCGAACCGAAACGAAGCCGTCAATAATAGTTAGAAAGGAAAAAATCGATCAGTCTCTACTCGGAGTTGCATCCACCGAACCAAGAATCAGTTGAGGATTACACAAATTCTTTTTACAAAACGACTGTAATAATTAATAATATAAGAGTTTAAAAAATTAAACCATTGGTCATGAGCTGTGACCTCATAATTTACGTGGTAGAGCCACGCTGCAGTTATTTAATGGTTATAGCACGAATGGTTCGACTCGACCGGGGAAGGACCACGCTCTCACAGAATACCAGCGTAATGCTGCTGTGTTTCGTACAGTAACTGTAGAGTACCTGAGACCCTTTTAACTGGGAAACAAGGCATTCCATCTTAGTCCTCAGGGTTTACAACGCATCTGCATTTTGATTGTTAATCGAGAATATTTGTATGTACATGTCTATAGGCAATAGCACGCACTAGTAATCGGGTGGACTGTGTGCTCATTGTCACCGCCATTCTATAAAAAATAAATATTTTATTTTATCCTGGTGATCCTAGAATACTAGGATAAAGTTACTAAATTATTGTGTTGTCATAGGTCCTTGATATGAGTGCAAATTTTCAAGTCCATCTGTCGTCTACAAGTTGATGAAAATTACATTAAAAGATTCCGTTACATAGATAGACACACGCAAAGCTAAGAAATGCGTGTAAAAAATCATACAAGATGGCGGAGGCTAGATAAACCCACAATGTACATCCAGATTTTAAGATTGCTCAATATATAGAAAAAACAATTGCGTAGTTACATCTGTTAACTTTGTGATTTGAGGCACACATACCAGTTTAGACTGCAATGAACTGTCAGGGCCGTAACCGATTGCAAAAAAAATCCAAGCACTAACTAAGGTAAATACAAGGAAAGGTCGATATTTAAAAGATATAAGTGAATATGTAAAAGCAAAAAACAAATAGATTAATCACTAATAATGTCCTCCAGACCGAATTCCGGTCACGATGGCCAGTTTCAACGGAGACTGGCCATCTGCGCAGGACAGGATTATAGTGCCACAGTGCACTCTCTTATTCTCTCACTTTTATAGTCCGTTGGGATGGTTATCCGACACGACAGGAGAGAGTGATCAGGCGCAGGACCTACCGCTTTACGTACTTTCCGAGCCACGGTGGTGGAACACCGCCTCTACTGATTCCGGGCTGCTACGGAGAATATCTAAAAAATCCAATAACTGATTTTGGCCCGACCCGGGATTTGAATCCGAAACCTCATAATCAGCAACCGTATTTATGACCTCTGAACCAACAAGATAGTCAAATAAATTCTCCTTCGTCATTAAGTTCCTCGCCGCCGAAGTTCTCGAGTTGGCCGGGACAATAAGAAGACCAGAATCATACCGAGGTACCTTGAACTTGCAGTCCGCAACGACGAAGAGTTGAACAAGCTCCTCTCCGAAGTGACAATCGCCCAGGGCGGTGTACTACCCAACATTCAGGCGGTCCTTCTGCCAAAGAAGACCGAGAAGAAGGCCTAAACGAGTGTACCCCTGGTTGCCGGTGGTACTGAAAGCCTTGGCAGCATAGAGATGTTATTATGATTTAAAATCATTTTTAGGTTTTTTTTTAAATTCTCCAAGTTTCAGGATAAAGTATAATACCCTAGATCCCCATGGCATTGCTCTCTTTGTGTTCGTAAAGTTTCATCACATTGGGTTGAGCCATACCAAAGGTTAGCCCGGACAGACAGACATAGAATTTAAAAATGATAAACATACATTTTTTACCGACTTCAAAATGGACGAGGAGGTATTCAATTCGACGGCATATTTTTTTATATGTTACGTTACCTCAGAACTTATTTTATATATTTTTTTTCTTTGAAAGCTGATGCTTCTCGTGTGGTCAATATATATATATATATATATATATATATATATATATATATATATATATATATATATATATATATATTTGAACACGATCTGACTGTTTTTGAGTTATACTTACTTAAATAATGCGTAATTAATTCAGAAGTCAGTTATTTCAATATAACTGACACACACTTCATTTTTATTTATATATGTGTATGTTTATAGATAGATAAGTTTTTGAACCGGCAGAGTATGCAAATTCGGTTAAAATGTCATCGACCGTATAAATCTAGTGAAAGTTTACCGTGTGCAGTACAATGATCAATGTAATATAGTCAGCGCGTCTGAATTAGTCGCGACATAAACCATTAACCTCCATTGAAGTAATACGAGTATGTACTACGTATTAGAACAGACACCGCGGACAGAATCCCGCGCGAAAGGTAACACGTGTTATACGCGGTAGAGCCACGCTGCAGCAAGTTGTAGCACGAATGGGTCATCTCGACCGGGGTAGGACCACTCTCTCACAGAATACCAGCGTAAAATAGCTGTTTCGTATGGTGAGTGTAGAGAACTAGAGACCCTTTTTTGAGACCTCTGGAAACGAGGTATTTCATCTTGATTCTTAGGGGTGATTCTCAGGTGGAATGTGTGCTCGTTTGTCACCCTTATTCTGTAAAAAACACACACGCACACGCACACGCACACGCGCACGCACACGCAACACGCGCACGCGCACGACGCACACGCACACGCACACGCACACGCACACGCACACGCACACGCACACACACACACACACACACACACACACACACAATACCTTTTTTCGGCACAGATTAAGTAAGTTTGAACCCCTGGCCAAAAACAGAATACATAATAGTGCCCCTGGTATCTAAAACGTGTTTCAACCAACCGAGTCTCGGGGTCTCTTATAGGACGTAGTACATTTACTCAATGTTACCTAACCCCTCGAAAGTAGACCGGCAACGTGTCAATTGTCAATAAAAACGGGCTGACCAATTATTAGGAATAACTTTGTAATTTGTCGAAACGTATCTTCCATTTAAAGGAGCTCTATGGTTTTTTCTACGTAGGGTTTTTCACCTTATAACATTCGTTTCAAAATATAACATGAACGAAAATGTTTACTCATTATACCTGTTGTTGTATGTGCTACCAGGTACCAGTTGGGTCTGTAACTTACTTGATAGCCTGCTGATGCAACTTGTTTTATAGTTAATAAAATTTCATGACAACGTATTTTTTAATTTAAGAAGCCGTTTAGAAACAGTAAATTCTGTTTTTAAACTCATAAGAAATGTGACGTATTATGATGTAATTTTAAAACCAACTATTGATTGCAAAATACCTTTGGACAAAATCTGTAGAAAATTCCTAAAATCTTAAATATTTTTCTTATTTATTAATTTTGATTCCTAAAATCCTAAATTCCTAAAATCTTAAATATTTATCTTATTTATTATCTTAATTTTTTTACCTTAGTTTAGTAAATATACAAATTTATGAGTTACGGTCCAATTTCTACTATTTTCAAATTATAAATTCTCAACAATATACCTTTATTCTGCACAACAATATCCTTAAAATTTAATAATATCATGGTGAACGTATCACAGACAGAGGGTATACAAAACTGTTCTACTTTGAGGAAATAAAGAGCGAGGGCGGGGTGAGAGACACAAATTTGGGACACTGACTAAAACAAGGGGTTAATCACAGCTGACACAGTGTGAAAATTACTTTCAACTTTGTACTTATGACCCTAGACGTTATCCATGCTTGTATAATTAGGTCATGTTTTCTTTTACCTGAAGTCACGAAAGAACCTAATGGTAGAGTGGGTACTGCTGTTTATAGACACCAACTAATTTTAAACAAAGAAACCTTTTTTTTATCTTATACAACATAGCGGTGCCCCTCGGCTTCGCACGGGTGATTTCCGGATCTCGACAACAGCGCCACCTGCCGGGCCCAATCGTGAATCTAAACCATTCTCGAATGAACTTAATCACGTATACGAAATTTCATCAAATCGCTAGCGCCGTTTGGAGGTGTTGAGTCACATACACACGGACAGAAGTATTTTATATATAAAAATAAAGGTGACAAAAGAGCACACAGTTCACCTGATAACAAGTGCATTCCGTTGCTCATAGACATGTACATTTACTGTCGATTGAGAACCAAAATGCAGATGCGCTGTCACCCCTGAGGACTAAGATGGAACGCCCCGTTGCCAGTAAAAAGGGTCGCTGGTTCGGTTCGGTCACACTCACCATACGAAACACAGCAGCATTAAGCTGCTATTTTACGCTAGTATTTTGTGAGAGCGTGGTTCTAACTCGGTCAAGCCGACCTATTCGTGCTATAACTATAATATAGCTGCAGCGTGGCTCTAATACGTATACAGATGCGTTGTCACCCCTGAGGACTGAGATGGAATGCCTCGTTTCTAGTAAGAAGGGTCTCCGGTTCTCTACACTCACCATACGAAACACAGCAGCATTAAGCTGCGATTTTACGTAAGTATGCTGTGAGAGCGTGATCCTAACTCAGTCGAGCCGACCTATTCGTGGTACAACTATAATATAGCTGCAGCACGGCTTTAATACTTATACAGATCCGTTGTCACTCCTGAGGACTACGATGGAATGCCTCACAGACCCTAATTACACCGATTCTCTTTACCCTTCCAGAATAGAACAGAATAGAATATTTTTAATCAATATAGATCACATTTAATTCTTATTAAAATTAATTTTTTACTTTCCACTGGTTCGGAAAAAACCTGTGTCCTGGTAAGAACTAGCATGGAAAACAGCGGTAGGTACTTTCTTTTTTCAAAGAAAAAACATACAATTAAACACAGGTTGTTCAAACTACTTACAAAACTTATTAAAGAAACAGCTTCGAAGCGACCACCTCATTCCCATGTGTTATTATTAACCATGTATTCATTTATATCATAAT